ACAAGTAGGTATACAATATTATACATGTTTATTGTATAAATACTGAATTCTGTCATTAGAATTTAGAACACTGAACATTGTGTTAAAAAAATAAATAAATTGTGTTTTTATTTGTGTAAAATAATTTCAAAGTGTCAGGTTTTTGTGGAATATTTCATACTTCAAACACTACATAGGCACCATGGTTATTTCTTATAAGCATTTAAAGTTCAAATTTTGTCAAAATGACAGTTAATTTGTAGTTTAAAACTTATAAAATATAAAATATATTATATAGCTAAGGCTAGACAATTTAATACAAGGTCTTTCATACTAGTAGTTCATACTTTTACCTAAAAATTACAGATAATTTATGAAAATTGGTATGCAAATACAATGTTCTTTCAAAAATGAATTCATTCTGGTAAGACATATATGAAATTTACTTCTTGCTTACTATAGTTGACAGTTTAACTTGATTAATATTTTTTTGAAAAAGTAACAATAATACGGGCAATGGGGGGGCTTTAGCCCTTTAGCCCCCCCCCCCCCCCCCTGCGGACGCCACTGTCGGGCACAATTAGAGTGGTTGCCAAATATATGGTATGGACTATTTAAAATATCCTTTCGCAAATTATATTCAATTTATAATATGTACCACTTTACCTGGTTGTGGCTCAGATTGTCTACATTGAATGATTTCTGTTAATTGTTATAAATGGTTTTTTGAGTACCTACCTATTTCTTTTTTTTATCATACCCAAATTGTTCGATAATTCAAGTAATACGGCCTATTTAAATAGTTTACAGCAAAACTACCTATTATAAAAGTTTTAGAGAAGAATTTTTTCAACAATTGAAATAAGCTCAATTTTTTATATTTTTATTAATAAGTTAAATAATTAATCGATAAAAAGTAAAAAAAAAAAATGTTAATTTACCATGCGATATTGGACGATTGGAATACGATATCAAAAATCGGATTTATTACGATTGTTAAAAAAATTCTCCTCTACCACTTTTATAATAGGTATTTTTACTGTAAACCTCTTCAATAAGCCGTATTAATTGAAGAACAAAAGTAGTTTTTATTTGTATAAAATTCGGATAAGAAGAGTTCGGCCTAGTGAACAAAATATGGTTTCGTAATTCAAGTAATACGGCTTATTGAAGCAGTTTACAGTAAAAATACCTATTATAAAAGTTGGAGAGAAGAATTTTTTTAATAATCGAAATAAGCCCGATTTTTTATATTTTTATTAATGAGTTAAATAATTAATCGATAAAAAGAAAAAAAAAAAAAATTGTTAATTTATCATGCGATATTGGACAATTGTAATACGATATCAAAAATCGGATTCCTTACGATTGTTAAAAAAATTCTCCTCTACAATTTTTATAATAGGTATTTTTATTGCAAACCGCTTCAATAAGCCGTATTACACTATTACCTACTTGAAGAACAAAAGTATAGTTTTTATTTGTATAAAATTCGGATACGAATACAAAATATAAAATCAAACCAATTACCAAATTAAATATTATTTGTCACAAATATAATAATCATTTTCTTATCTGGTTATTTATAAACTATGCACGGGCGGTCGGCTGCGATAGGGAACCTGTTTTGACCATGGTGCGGTACCGCCGTTAGTGCGCGCGGGGTGGTAATATGCACAGCTAGTATCGAACGCTGCCACTGACTACGGGCGCAGCACTTGCCGAGCGTAATTTTCTGCAGTTTTCTTATAAAACATACTTTGCGCGTTCCAATAATATGGGTTACTGAGTGGTTTAATCGTAAAAACATCTATGAACAAAATTGTAGAGGAGAATTTTATCTGGTTCCGTAAGAAGCCCGATTTTTGATATCTTTAAAACATCATGAAATATATCATGATTAATAATACACTTTTTTTCATTTTCCGGAAGTTAATTTTAGGACTTAGAAATGAAAATTTCAAAAATCGGGCTTCTTACGGAACCAGATAAAATTCTCCTCTACAATTTTGTTCATAGGTGTTTTTATGATAAAACCACTCAGTAACCCATATTATTGGAACGCGCAAACATGTTTTTAAAGGAATTTTTCGAGTGATTTTTTTGGGTGACACGTCCTCTTAAATATTTAAATTATCAAATCTTTGATTTTTTTTTTTTAATATAAATATATTCAAGCAGTTTAAAATAAAAACAATAAGTAATAAGGATAACATAGAAAATATAATATACAAACATGAATCACGTGGAAACCTTTCATTAACGCAGAATCGCAGATTTAAAAAGAAATTTTTGATGAATTTCTAACAAAATAATTTTCACATTTTCGTGATTTTTACGTATTTTGTCAAAATTCGAACTTCTAATGCTTATAAAAAAATTGTGACTGTATTTTTAATTTTTTTTTTAACTAATATTGTATCAATATATTTGGAGCCTTGTAATAAATTTTCAAGGTTTTTGATCCAACGATTACCATTTTATATTGACATCATTCTATATAAATAAAAAAACTTAAAATATTAGAAACTTAAATGTTTTCAAAGAGCTCATAGCAAGTCAACATATTTTGAATGTTTTAAGCTCTATAGAAAATGCTTATATAAATATTCAATGAATATTTCATGTATCTACGGTCATTTGTTATCGAGTTACACCAAAAACCAAAATTAAGTTAACCGGAGTTTTAATCGGCCGAATTTGGCCGGTTAAATATCTGCTATTAGCCGATTGAGCGTTTTCCTTAATTTTTTTTTTTTGTTTTTTCCGGCGCTTTTAAAAATTACTGGGAATTTGACCACTCCAATGCGCAAACTAGATTCACTTTTCCATCGCATAAGATACTGAAGTTTAAAATCGAAGCATTATTTCGTGTACTTATCGTGTACAGGTACAACAAATTAAAAAAACAGACCATTGTAAAATCAATACATCCATGGCTAGTCCGCTCAGAATCTAAAATGTATAATAAGGTTTTTCACAAGTAGTTATATTGAAACAAAAAAACTAAAATTTACGGTAAACGTTCACTTTGTACGGTCCATTGTTCAAAATGTACAACGCGGACACTTTGTACAGTCGGGTAAAATGGTAAATTGCAGAACGCGGACACTTTGTACTATTATATACATAAAGTAAATATATTATAAATATAAGTTATATACCTAAGTTAGCAAGTAAATAATACTATATATTATATATGACAAATTTTACTAAAAATGTTATAAATTAACTTGTTAGGAAATAACAAATATGGAATTTTTAAATTCCATATAATATTATACATGTAGTTTTTAAAGATTTTTTTAAATATTAAAGAATGGAAATTTTATATTTTATAGATCGTTCATTTTGACGAATTACTCTAAAATTGATTTATTAAACCCTTAATATTAAATAATTATGTATGTGCACTTTTTATCTAAGCTTGATACCATTTTGACGTATTTTCATATTATTATACGTACTATACAATATTATGTAGTTTTTTTAAAATTTTTGTCAATATTATACTTTACTTGTCATTTTGAGATATTTCCATATTATAGGTACTATGCATGTAGTTTTTAATGATTTTTTTTCATTATTATATTTTATTTGTCATTATGACATATTTATATTGTACACATTTTTAATTTGCTTTAAAACTGATATCTAATATTATAATACAATTAAGATTTATAATAATATTATTGATTGTTTGATTATTTTGATCATTATTAATATACGATGAAACAATTTACTTTTAATTTTTAATTTTTATATTTTAATAATTTACATTATAATTTATAATATTATATATACTTACTACTTAGGTATATAACTTATATTTATAATATATATACTTTATGTATATAATAGTACAAAGTGTCCGCGTTCTGCAATGTACCTTTTTACCCGACCGTACAAAGTGTCCGCGTTTCGCACTTTTAATGCTCGACCGTACAAAGTGATCTAGAACCAAAATTTACAAAATATATGGATACTTTTTGAGCTATAAGCCGTGTGACAATATAAATATTTACATTCTTAATTGATCAATCACACCAAAAAAGCGGGGTTTTTTTTAAATATTTTTTCCCCGATCATTTTTAAAACTATTCCGAATATTTTTACTTTTCACCAATCAAAGAACTGTATTAATTTTTTTAGATGAAAATTTAAAATAGCACTGACACACATCAATAATACGTTCGAAATAATTCTAAAAAAATTTTAAACAAAACTATTATTATAATATACTCGTATTATACAACTTTTAATTTTTATTATTTAAAAATCGTCTAAAGATTAAAAAAATGTACACAATAAAAACCTAATTTTATACAAAATGAATTCAGTTCTTATTTAATATGATTAGTAAAATATGTTACGAAATCAAATTTAACAACAGTCTACAGTTATAACTTATGACTAATATATACATTATATTATTTTCTAATTTTAGTCGAGTAGCTTATACTCGCTATCCGCTCACAGAATAATTCTAGACTAGAGAATATTTACATTGATAGAAGCAATACATCCATTACTGTATACACTGCACACGAAAAGGTTTTGGTTGTTATATAATTTCAATAACGTGTGTAACAAATTAAAAAGTATCCGTAGCTTTTTTGTAAGCTTTAAGCTTTTCGAAATATCGCAACAATATACGTTTTTCAGAGTGCGTGATTCTATTGTGTAGTTGAAATGGTTGAATAGCGTAGATTCTACGAAAAAGCAAATACCACAAACGTCAAACACCCGATGTTTCTTACCGACTTGCGATCTTCGTTCATAGAGTTTAGGTAAAATGATGTAGGTACAAGCGTCACACTCAAGAGTAGGAAGGTTTCCCGGTTCGACAAATTTCGAGGACGACCGATGAAAATATAATGACAGACGCCAGTGGGCACCGCAGCTACTACACAAGGTTTTATTCACAACGGACGATCGTCGTTGAGAGTGAGAACTAAATGGTTTTGTTTCTTGTTCGTCCCGAACGCCCGAGCAGACGAATTCAAACGTTCATATCGAGTTTAAAAATATTTGAAATGAACATTTCGTGTATGACTTGCACAATTACTGCTTGATGAGAACTTTCTTTCACAATGGCCGCACTCGTATGGTCTTTCACCTGTGTGTATTCTACAGTGTACAGCAAAAGTTGATCGGTCCGCAAATGATCGGCCACAAACATCGCACGCATATGGTCTCTCTCCAGTGTGTGTTCTTGTATGGGTAACCAAAGTTGACTTATGCGAAAATGAATTCCCACAAACGACGCACGCATATGGCCTCTCTCCAGTGTGAGTTCTTTTATGTAAAACTAACGTGAACTTATGCGAAAATGAATTTCCACAAATGTTGCAACCATATGGCCTCTCCCCGGTGTGCATTCTTGTATGTGTAACCAAATGTTCTTTCCTCGAAAATGAATTCCCACAAACGTCGCACGCATATAGTTTCTCCCCGGTGTGCGTTCTTGTATGTCTAACCAAATGTGGTTGTTGCCAAAATGATCGGCCACAAACATCGCACGCATATGGTCTCTCTCCAGTGTGTGTTCTTGTATGGGTAACCAATGTTGACTTATGCGAAAATGAATTCCCACAAACGACGCACGCATATGGTTTCTCCCCGGTGTGCGTTCTTGTATGTGTAACCAAATGTTCTTTCCTCGAAAATGAATTCCCACAAACGTCGCACGCATATAGTTTCTCCCCGGTGTGCGTTCTTTTATGTATATGTAATTTAGATTTACAACTAAACGATTTAAAACAAACGTCGCACTGGAGAGGAGTGTTTCCAGTGAGAACATTTTCGTGACTATGTACACCGTTGACGTGGTTAAATGTTTGATTACAATATTGGCCAAAATACATACCTGTGTCGGTCATAGTGCGATATTCCGACGTTTGATCGTCCCGAGAATCCAAAATTTCTAATTTCTTTCCGCCGTCTTCGCCCATATAATTATTACTATCATTTGTTTCCATATCCATGGCCACTGGTTGGAGGGAATCGTTTTTTGAATATTCTTTATCGTTTGCCGCTTGTTTACGTTTATTCGATTTTTCCGGTGACATTATTTCTTTACGAGTTACCGCCTATCAAAGATTAACAGATTAAATAGATATTCTTAAATCACAAACACGAAATATAGTACAACAGTATTAAAGTAAGAAAAATTTCTTAAAATGTTATGAATTTTTAACCACAAAATAATTTACAAAGTTTAATTATTATAAATAATTTTTTTTTTAAATAAACTTTAAAAGAAATTGATTTGTATTTCGGTACATGTTTTGGTTGCGGTAAATATAAACTTACGAGGACTATTTATTAAATGTGAAAGCTGTCTAATTAATAATCACTAAGCAGTAAGTTTATCATATTATATTAAACGAAAATATTAAATATCTATAAATAGAACATAGTAAAAAAAAATTCTAATTTACACATTCCTCAGAAAGTTCCAAAAGATGCTAAAACAAAAAACCTATAAAGTTAAAGAATAAAGCATTTTTACCGCTCCAAATGGGTCCTACTAATTACTATTGACAACATTTTTAGGGATAGTGGAGGGTTGCCCAGCCTCAATAACAAAGAACTCTATTGAAAATCGTTGTGGCCTCGTCATTTATATCATCTTCCCTCACCCTTGTACACTCTGAAGGAAGTGATTCACAGTTTTAATATAATTTATACAATTATAATGATTTATTCATATCAAATTTAAATATTTTTAATTTGTATAAAAAATAATAATAAAATTCATACTAAATAAAGATTATACAAACCTTAATAACATTTTTCTGTTCCCTCTTTTTATTTTTTAATAACTTAAGAATTCTACAAAAGAATAAAATAATTAATGTTTTAATATTGTACGTAATACAATTTTAGTCAAAAAAGGTTAATTCATTTTACTCAATATTTTCATACTCACAATTCAGGGTACCCTTCTTTATGGACTTTTGAAGTTCTTGAATTATAAGAAGTGTCAATCATAGTAAAATCTGTAAAAATAATGGAATAATAAAATAAAACATTTCAACACAATATAATACAATAATTTATAATAGAAACTTAATTTAATATTTTAGAATAATAATATATACATCTTTACTCCATTGTTTACCAATATTCATTTTACTTCCCCCACAAATAGTATTTATTAAATTAATAAGATAGTCTTAAATATTCAACCAAGCTGGCATGTAACGAAAGAATGTATTAATTTTATAATAAGTGTAATACACATTTGTGTATTTTATTTCTGTCTGTCTTACTAATAACATTATTTTTTATTAGTATTTGAGTTATATTTTTTTTAGGCTATCGGATAATCATTGGTAAACTAATGAATAACCCATCAATAGATTTTTCATATTTTGTTGTAATTCAAAAATGAATAGTAAACTTTTGGACATTTCCAATAACGATTATACTTGAATTTTCATACACGATGAACTTTTCAAAAAATATTGATACTTTTTGTGCTAATATATAATACATGAGTTCATAAATTATTGTCAATAAAAAATGTTTAACTGTGTCAAAAGGCTTGAAAATGTAATGCAAGGTTTCTCTTATGTTTTTTTAATAGTAGTACAAAAACATTAAAGATACACTGCAAGGATGATTTTGTTTTTAAAGGACTCATAAGGTTCATATTTTAACAACATTTATTCAAACCATTAAAGGTGGGCAAGTGGGTGTAGCTCTGCTGTACAGAAGGTTACAAGTGGGTCCCTGTAATGGATGCTGTTAAATTTGAATTCAATAATATAATATCATTGTATATGAAAAACCATTTTGATCGAAATCGGTCAGTCAGCCTATGATATATTTGTAAGTATATTTGATGATATTAGGGTGAAAAAAGTACCTAATTTATATACAACCTATTTACGTGGAACTTTGTTTTAAATTACTACTACTTAACAATGAAAGTTGAATATTGCATAAAGTTTGAACTACAAAATAATTATACATTTTAAATTTGATGAATTTTGTAAAAATTCGATCTTTACAAAATAAAAATTGTGCCTATGTATTTTTAATATTTTTCAACTGATCGTTATAATTTATCAGGAGCCTTGCATTAAATTGTCACCCTTTCTTAACAAACAAATAAAATGTTATTGATATTAATAGAAAAAAAAACTAAAAAAATTGAAAATTGACAATAATATGGTATATAGAAAATTAAAATATAAACATTCAGTAAAATGTTCATGTATCTACATTTATTTGTTTTTGAATAACAATAAAATAACAATACAGCTACATGAGAATTCGAGTGAATGTCCAACATTGTAAAAATATGAATTTCAAATACTATAAAAATTTAATTTGAATTGCTTGTAGACATTTGTATTTTTATAAAGGTAGACAAACTTAAGAATAATCTTGTATTACATTTTCAATTCTTAGACTAAATAAGCGGATAAGTGGATGTCGCTCTGCTGTGCAGTACGTTACAAGTGGGTCATTGTATAATGGATTGTATTAAATTTGAATTCAATGATATTCTATCATTGTATAAGAAAAACTATTCTGAGCGGAGACGGTTTGTCAGTCTGGATATTTTATATTATTGTCATTAATTATTATATCATGTGAGTTGAATTAATATTATAATATTATTATTTTTTATACGTTTCTATGGTAATAAACAAAGCGTTAGAAACTAAAATCAAATTTTTTAGAGGTTTTTCGTAATTTTTCGGTGGTTATTACCGTGGCATTTAATAACTATTGATAAAATCGAAAAATGACCTCTCTAAAGTACCATCTTGATCCAATTTTCTAAAAGATAAGGTACTATATTATGTTGAAATTGTAGATTTCCTTCTGGTAGAAATGTTGTATACAGGATATATATATAAAAAAAAAAAATAAACACCATTGTAAAACCCCTAGCTTCTTCGCTCCGCTAAGAATCTAAAAGAATAATTTATATGAATTCTGAACTCAAAATATTTTTGGTGATTTTTCAGTATTTTGTCAAGATTTGAGAACTTATATGCTTATAAAAAAAACTGTGACAAAGGAATTTTAATACTTTTCAAATGTCAATGGAAAAAATATAGCATAGGAGCCTTGTATTAAATTTTCAAGCTTTTTCTTCCTACAAATAAAGTTGTATGGACATTCGAGAAGAAAGACTAATAAAATTGGAAACAGAAAATGTTCCTAAACAGTTCAAAACAAATCAAAATATTTTGAAAACTTTATCGTGTACAGAAACTGCAAATATAAACGACCAGTGAAAATTACATGTATATACGGTAGGTACATTTGTTTTAGAATTTCACAAAAAAACAAAATAGATTTTGTTTAAAACCGATTTTGAGTAAAAATTCCCGTTTTTCCTTAAATGTTATGTTGTTTTTTCCCGGCGCTTTAGAAAACTATTGAGAATTTTAAAATCGAAACAGTTTTACTGCCCCAAACCATGATGACATCAGACACAAAAATAAAAAAAATAACACACATCATTGTAAAATCAATACATTCATCGCTCAGCTTAGAATCTAAAATGTGCACATTATTTTGTAGTATTAAAGATATAGATAAAGATTCGCATAAGTTGTTAATATTGTAACCAAAAACTCTTAAAAATATATTCCAAGTTTAACAAAATGCATTATAAAAACAAATATTTGGACATTGTTTTGTAGTTTTAAGTACTTACATATAAAAAATTTATAACACGTGGGTACTTGACTTTTTAAAAGTATATAAAATGAAATGTTTTGGGAAATTTAATTAAACCAACTATTAGTATAAATTAAAAATGTAATGTCAGCTCCCTCATAAATTGTTTTAATAGCAGTTTTACCAGAATTCATTAAGTTCATGAAAACATTTGTTGTACCTATAGTCGTAATTGTTAAAAAAAAGTGTGAGCAAGTGGGTGTTAATTTGCCGTACAGTAGGACAGTAGGTTACAAGTGCGTCATTGTAATGGATGGAGTTAAATTTGAATTCAATGATATAAATAAGTAATATAATATAGTAATTATGTATGGAGTCAGCATATGATATTACTAAGGGCCGATTTCAACAACATTGTTAATCACGATTAAAGTTAACATAAGTTTTAATAAACCGAATTTGGCTGGTTAAATATCTGTTATCAGCCGATTAAGCGTTTTCCTTAATTTTTTTTTGTTTTTTCCCGGTGCTTTTGAAAATTACTGGGAATTTTACCTCTCCAATGCACCTACTAGATTCAACTTTTCCATCGCATAAGATATTGAAGTTTAAAATCGAAGCATTGTTTCGTCTACTTATCGTGTGCAGACACAAAAAATTAAAAAGCAGATCATTGTAAAATCAATTCATTCATGGCTCCGCTAGTCCGCTCAGAATTGAAAATGTATACTAAGGTTTTCCACAAGTAGTTATATTGTAACCAAAAACTCAAATTTATAAAATATATGGACACTTTTTGAGTTATAAACCATGAGGCAATATAAATATAAACTTTCTTTATTTTTCAATCACACCAAAAAAAGAGGGGTTTTTTTAAAATGTCCTGTTTAATTAATATTTTTTTCCCTGATTATTTTTAAAACTATTCCGAATATTATTACTTTTCACCCACCAAAGAACTGTTTAAATTTGTTTAGATAAAAATTTAAAATAACACTGACACACATCATAGTAAAATCAATACGTTCGAAATAATTCTAAAAAATTTTTAAACAAAACTATTATTATAATATATAGTATACAACTTTTAATTTTTATTATTTAAATATCATCTCAAGATTAAAAAAATGTACACAGTAAAAACCTAATTCTATACAAACTGAATTCAGTTCTTATTTAATATGATTAGTGTATTATTATGTTACAAAATCAAATTGAACAACAGTCTACAGTTATAACTTTTAACTAATATATACATTATATTATATTCTAATTTTAGTCGAGTAGCTTATACTCGCTATCTGCTCTAAGAGTTTACATAAAATTATGTAGGTAAGTGTTGGTACAAGCGTCACACTCATAAGAGTAGGAAGATTTCCCGGTGAGACCAATTTCGAGGACGAACGATGAAAGTATAAAGTCAGACGACAGTGGGCACCGCAGCTATTATACAGCAGCTGTATACAAGGTTTTATTCACAACGGACGATCGTCGTTGAGAGTGAGAACTAAATGGTTTTGTTTCTTGTTCGTCCCGAACGCCCGAGCAGACGAATTCAAACGTTCATATCGAGTTTAAAAACATTTGGTATGAACATTTCGTGTATGACTTGCACAATTACTGCTTTTTGAGAACTTTTTTTCACAATGGCCGCACTCGTATGGTCTTTCACCTGTGTGTATTCTATAGTGTACAACCAAATTTGATCGATCCGCATATAATCGGCCACAAACATCGCACGCATATGGTTTCTCTCCGGTGTGTGTTCTTGTATGTATAACCAAATGTGGTTGTTGCCTAAATGATCGGCCACAAACATTGCACGCATATGGTTTCTCCCCGGTGTGCGTTCTTTTATGTATATGTAATTTAGATTTACAACTAGACGTTTTAAAACAAACGTCGCACTGGAGAGGAGTGTTTCCAGTGAAAACATTTTCGTGACTATGTACACCGTTGACGTTGTTAAATGTTTGATTACAATATTGGCCAAAATACATACCTGTGTCGGTCATAGTGCGATATTCCGACGTTTGGTCGTCCCGAGAATCCAAAATTTCTAATTTCTTTCCACCGTCTTCGCCCATATAATTATTACTATCATATGTTTCCAAATCCATGTCCACTGATTGCAAGGAATCGTTTTTCGAATATTCCCTATCAGTTGTCTGTCGTTTACGTTTATTTAATTTTTTCGGGGACACAAGTTCTTTACTAGTAATGGCCTATAAAACATTAATTCAAACTAATAATTAGATATTCTCAAATTAGATACATTGTATGTCTTTAAAAAAAACTTCCTAAAATGTTGTGAATTTCTAACTGCAAAGTAATTTATATACCTAATTTGATTGTTCTAAAAGGGGGATAACAGGTATAAAAAAAGTACCATTACAAAACTACGTAGGCGCAATATTGCAATAATAAGAATATAATATATTATTGTAAACCTATTTTCTTTGTTTTTTTGTTGTAGATAATCATACACTGATTTTGTTTTTAGATTATTTGAAATACTTAATATTTAAAATGAACAGTTTAGTAAACCATTGCTGTACATACTTGTCCTCAGACCTCAACCAATTTTTAATGTGTTGCATACTTAAAAAAATATGTTTACTTGTTACAGAAAACAGAACTCATTGGAATTACAACAGAAATTTGAAATAAATAAATTATGTTAGAAAACACTCATTTTGAACTGATTTTTTTAAAATTAAAATCGTTGAATAAAAAAAAATATCGCATAAAATAAAGAAATTGCTCTTTTATCACATTATTTTTGGTGTTTTATAACAGGGGCTGAATTAAAATTTGTGCGTGCTAAAGCACCTCCAAGCAACCTCCTAGTTGTGCCTATGCAAAACCATATCAAATTTGCAGAATTGATGAAGATGTATAGTTGAATGTAGTGATTTTATAATGAAGTCATCTTAACCCAAGCAGTGGTGTATTGGAGGGTATACGCGGGTATACGTCGTATACCCGGATCCCTATTTTTGGATTTATGCGTATACCTTTAAGAAAATTAGTCTTTTATGGGAATACGCACGCTTCTAATTTATCATCAGACAATTTAGGCATATTATCACCAAACAAAAGTAAAAACTTAAAAATAATAAAAATAATAATCTAAATTATTAATACAATTATATTTTATTATAACATAAAGTGCACTGTCCAAAAATACTAAAAATAGCCCCGTACCCGCATGAAGTTCGATTAAATTTTACCCGACGTTTTCTTGCGAAGACGATCGGAAACTGCCGAGCAATACAATGGTATAGTATTATAATGGTAATGGTATTGTATATGGTTAAGGCTCACGTGCCAACTAATGCCTCAATTCCGGTGGCGGAAAATTTGTGTGGAGCCAAATTATTTTATCCATCTGAGTTATCACGTATTGTTTATTATCAATATATTTTGATAAGATATTTCATAATAATAATATTGAATTGATTAGAATAAATTAAAATAATAATTAAAATAATTAAAATTTTAAAGTATACCAGTATACTATATAATTATATATTATTATATTATAATATTATATTATACTATATATTATTAATTATTACCTTATTTTACTGATTTTTAACTTGTTTAACTTTGAGTAAAACTGATCCAAATTTAATATTTATGACCAAAAATTCCCAAATTATTAAAAATAAATTTTCTTATGTCAAAATGGAAAAGAGGATCTCATAGTTTGTCGATCGACTTTCAAAGATAAGTATACACTCATTACTATATTATTTTTTATTTATTTTTATGGTTTATGTATTAATCAGTCATGGTGGTAAGTTATTTTGATTTTATAAAGTAATTAATAATTCTTTTTCTACTTAATTTGTATGTCATGCTTCATAGATTTGTAGAGAATGTGGAAAAGATTTTTCCAAAGCATTTAACTTGAAACGTCATCAAACAACTTCTTTGACTTGCAATCTTCAAAATAACATTGTTGAAAATAATTTTGTAAGTACAAAGTAATTTTATCAATTAAATTAATAACTTTTAATTTATAGTTACAATGTGTAGGCATGCTGTGAATGTTATAAAAAATTCAATCCTAGAGATACTTTAGAACGGCATATAAAGATTCACCACACGTCCACAACGTTTAACGTTCAGAAGAACCCCAGTAAATATAATAATGTAAATATAAATAGAGTTAAAATTTAACATATACAGGTATAATTCTATACCACTTTACAAGGATATTATTTTATGAAATAGATATGCGAATTATGTCAGAAAAACTTTGCTAGTCTTGATGGACTAAAACGCCATCAAAAAAGTGTACATCCAAAACGTGTTAAAGAAGGAAAACAATTTAACTGTGTATTAATATAATATGTTATATTATGTATTAATAATTTACAACTATATTGTGTTTAAATAAAATATAATATGTTTATGTCATTCATAATTTAAAACTACAATATTGTGTTTCTATAAAATCCAAAATACCTATCTTATCAAATAATCTTATCATAATATACTGATAATAAACAATACGTGATAACTCAGATGGATAAAATAATTTGGCTCCACACAAATTTTCCGCCACCGGAATTGAGGCATTAGTTGGCACGTTTAAGGCTCTAGCTCTACATACCATGGGTATGCTATGCCACCATTTTGCGACTCTTTTATCAATGATCAAATGATAAAATAAAGGGGGAGAAATTCATAGATAATATAAGAATATTATCATATATTATCTATGGAGAAATTCATATTCACAAAAGATTGTTAGTCGCAAAATAGCGGCGTATCATACCTGTATCTATAGTGCCCTAGTATGGTTATTCTAATAGTTAAAAATAGATCCGTAGTCAAAAAATCGTGTACGATTATTGATAATATAAAACAATAAACATACGTAATTTCAAACTAAATGATAATGACAAATTAGAATAATAATAAAATAATTATTGTTGATGTATTGTGTTATTACTTGTCATCCAATAACCAAATTATAAAATCGAACTATTAGTTTCTCATTATATTAATTCTATTAATTTTATAAAATATTTTATATATAAATATATTATAATATTATATGATCGATAATGGATAATAAACGTACCGCTACTTCTACTATATAAGTATTTTACTGTACAATTTTTTTAAAATTTGATAATAAAAAGTTGTTTTATTTATGATATATATCATATTATATGAATTGGGAACAAGTCTAGTTTACCGGGCACATTTTTTTTTTGAAATTTTTTTTTTGAAAAGGGTTGTTTTGACGAGTTAAGAACGATGGTGCAAAAATAAAATTGCGGAAATGATTATTTTGGAAGTTATAGCTTCCCAAAGTTAACGATTTTACGTTTATACGCGTGCGCGCAACACTACTTTAATGCCGCGCGGAGGACCTCGATTTGGCGACCGTTTGGCAACCCTTTGAAAAAAAAAGGTGCCCGGTAAACTAGACTTATACCATGAAATTGAATTAATTAAAAAAAAATAATACATTGATACTTGGTACATATTACATACAGTGGAGTATATATGAATTAATTTTATGGTTGGGGGTGAATATAGGGTAACTGGGGGGCGTATATAGGGAGGTATATACGCCACCGCATATACATATACACATGAAGAGTAAGTGTTTGTAATAAAGTAATAAAAGATTATTAAATACAAAGTGTACCTAATGATTTTTTGAGTGGAGCGAGAAAATTTTTAAGGTAGGTATATCGTATATATAGGTATATACTATATTCAACTACTTTTAGGTGCGTATACCCATAAATTTATTTACCAATACACCACTGAACCCAAGTAACTATACATTTATACATTTTATTAAAACCCACAAGAAATAGGTTGTAGTAATGACGCGCAACCATTCTATGGATTTCTAGGAAGAATGGAGGGTTGCCACAATACTATTGATTTCTATTAAAAATGTTGTAGCCTCATAATTTAAAAAATTTTCCCTTTCCACTGTCTCACTCTTTAGGGGATACTTCACTACTTCTATAGACTATAATGATTAATGAATATCATATTTAATTAAATATCTTAGAAAAAAAAAATAATAATAAACTATTATAAAACTAATACCAACCTTAATAATTTTTGTCTTATCTTTCTTTTTGTTCTTGAATAATTTTTGAAATCTACACAAGAATAGAATAATTATATTTTTCACTGCAATACATATTTGTTATAAAAAGAATTACAAATTTATCATATACAAAAAGAATATTTTATTTATATTTAAACAAATTATTATAAACAAAAATGATCAGCTAATTTTACTTATTCTCATATACTTACAAATCATGGTACTCCTCTTCATATACTTTCGAAATTCTCGAATTATAAGGAGTCTTAATCATAGCAGGATCTATTTAATAAAAATAAAGGTATTATATAATACAACATTTTTAACTCAACACAATACAATTATTTATAATATAAATTAAATTAAATATTTTAGAATAAATATCTATATTTTATTGTTTACCATAAGTCTTTCTATTTCCCTCTCATATGTGATTTATAAAATTAATTAGATAGTATAAATAGACAATTAATTTATAATATGTTGGATATATTACAAATTGGCCAACCAAGACAGTTAAAAATATTTTCAACAGATGTCCTACATTTTACAAATTGGTTTTGAAGAAATACAATAGGTTCATGTATTTTTTTTGAATAAGCGATGAAAGTGATAACACAAATTTACTATCTAGGGAGAAGGAGTGGCGAGCGGATTAAGGCGTTGATTGCAAAGCACACCAGTGCTGGTTTTTGAACCCGGCCGCGGGTGGAATTTTTCTTCAGGCAAGTCACGGGGTCCGGAGAGAAGTGTCGGAACACTCGGAACAATTCTAGTTTAGCAACCTATCGAATTTTTAGGTTTTGTTTTTTTTAAAATATGTGTTTTTAGGTGCTTTATAAGAATCTAAAATAAAAAAAGGCCGGATGGACTTCGTTTGGAAGTTACAGCCTTCCAAAGTTTGTGATTTTACGTTTATACGCATGCGCGCAACACTACTATAATGCCACGCGGAGGACTATTTTTGTTATTTTTTTGTACTTACGTATTCTAACCTGTTTAAAACGATGGTACAATAATAATTTATCCTCCGACTTGCTGTGCAACACCTCCCCAAGTGGGTCACAGGGTTGAGAAAATATCATTTTTGTTGCACCAAGGCACCAATTTGAAAAAACATCGTACAGTGATGCGGTGCTAGCGGCACTCGTCGCTACGCTCCTCAGCACCGTCGCTCCGCTCCGCAAATCGAAAATATCCCCTGATTTGCTGTGCAACACCTCCCCAAGTGGGTCACAGGGTTAAGAAAATTGCATATATTTGCATATAATTACTATAAATTTAAAATTAGTATCAAATATATTTAACATTTTTACATTATTTATTTATTATTTATTTTAATTGGGTATATTACTATATTAGGTATATTATTTAGGCTAATTTACCTAATCTAAGTTTTCAGTTTATAGTGATAACACGTCTTGCGGCACTCGTCACTGCGCTTATAGTAGTGTTGCGCGCATGCGTATAAACGTAAAATCGCAAACTTTGGAAGGCCGTAACTTCCAAACGAAGTCCGTCCGGCCTTTTTTTATTTTAGATTCTTATAAAGCACCTAAAAACACATATTTTAAAAAAAACAAAACCTAAAAAATCGATAGGTTGCTAAACTAGAATTATGCCGAAGTGTCGCAATCCCCCACCAGGACATGGCAGATACCTATACGGGTGCCCACTAAAAAATCTGCCAAACCAAAAACACACGTGTATACAAGCTTACAATTTCCTCCCCTACAAACAAAAACCAACAGCTAATGGCCATAGTTGACGGGCTTCATGATCAAAAAATTACTATCATTAAAATAAAACTAATATAGAAATATTATGTGTCAGAAAACAAATACAATTTATTAATATATAAATATATATATTTATTTATGTATATCCTAAAAATTAAAACATACATAAGAATTTAATAAATACACTTTTTTTCCCTTTTCCATTTGTTAATACAAAATACTCAACATGATTTTGATAGGCAGAATATATATGTGATAAAATAATAATTTTATTTATATAAATTATAAATTAAATAGATATAGATACATTTATGCATTTATATTATAATGTTTCAATTTTTAGTCAAACCCTAACCCCATATAATTTTGATAAGTGAGGTCCTATTGAATATGCTAATTACTTAATACTCTAATATGTTTTAAACAAAATGTTTCACTCAAATCTAATTTTTGTAAACAGCATACTATAATACAATTTGAGAATTGATATAGGTACTACTAGATATTTAAAATATTAAATTATTCCAAAATCAGTTAATATCTTATGGGACTTTTGTTGTGTTAATAGGCAGTAATAGCAGTTTCTAAAATATTTATTTTGGAAGATATTTGTAAGATGCAAATTTTACCATTGTGAAACTCATTTGACTGCTCTTCAGATATACATTTTTTCATGTCTTCCATATTTTTAAATTTTTTTTGTATAGATTCGCATTTTGACGACTCAGTATCTTCTTTTTTTGCCTTCTAAAATTAAATGTTTAAGAATATAAATATAAATCTCAACATGTTTATTTCTTTTATATAGACGGGTCCACGGTAGAGGACTTGTAGCTCTAAAAAATCACCAAATATGCACTTCAATGTACAAAATAATAAACATTTTAAAATGAATATTTTTGAATACAAAATAAGCATTTTTTCTGTAAATACCTATTATTTTAACGAATATATTTTATTTAAATTTTAAGTAGTAAGTTACAATAAGTATTGAATTATTTTAATTAATTCAGATACTTCTTCAAATTAATCCATCAATGTCTTCAACTTCTAAAAAATAAAATAATTGACGAAATATTTCAGTTTCAAATAATCAAATATTTACACTCGAGACGTGTTTCTATGAAAAACAGGTGTCTGGGAACAGCTAACGACCATATTAATATTGAGATCAACATTATTTTGGTTGTGAAAATAAATAAACAAAAACTTCGACCAAAAATTATTATTAATAAAATGATTAAAGCATGAACGTGTTTTTGTGTCATACACAGCTACTTTTGTGACTGTGCAAAAAAAATACGCAAATGCTACAAATCCTCTGCCCTATAGATGACCAATAGCTTTCAATATCTGCCTTTATCAGCATTTCACATATATTTCTTATATTCAAATAAACTACAAAAAAGAATAAATAATTAAAAAACAAAACAATAAATACCTTAGATTTTATCTTCTTTAACTTGGACTTTTTTAATGGACTTTTTAACCTAAACCAAAAAGACAATTATTCACTAAACAATGAACTAAAATAATAAACATGCAATTATTAGCTAATATCTAATAAAAAGCAAACATAGATTCTTTTCTTTGCTTAAAATCTAAAAAGCTCATGCAGTTCTATTTCCCATTTTCCCGATGGGTTAATTATTTTTTACAATTGGAGCGAATGTCTAAATTCGAAACTGAAAATTATGTATTAAAAAATTCATTGTTTATGATAAATTAAAACCTAAGTTTAGATCAATGAGAGCCCATTATATAAATTGAAAAAAAAATGTTTAATGTCTACAATAAATAAAATTAATTAACTTATTTATCAATATTATTGTATGATTTATATATTATATAAATCAAAAAATAAATAATGATACTAAATACTAAAAAGTAATTAACTTTTTTAGATACTTACAATGTCAATTCTTCATCATCCTCTGAAGCATTTGCAATTTGAGTACTTGTTGTCGAATTGTCTAAAATATGTAAATAAACATATTAAATATTAATATAATTATACATCGTGGTTACAAAATTACGCACCTTTATTTAAATTGGAACCACTTTTATTGATTTTATTTAAATACTTGATTTTGTCATTACAGGTATCATTATAAAATTGTTCTACTTTCAATGTAGCTTTATCGTTTTTCAAATATTTATTTATTTGTACCTAAAGACAACATAACAGTCTTTTAGGTAATAGCCAGTAGGTATCTATTTTTTTTTATTTTAATATCAAAACATACCATTTTTTTATCTCTCTTCTTTTTCTTCTTCTTTTTTTTAAATCTTCAATGTGCATAACAATAAAATACAATAGCAAGTATAAAAAATATTTTCATATATTATGTACAAGAAATAAAAATATGATTGTATAAATCAATTTAATCTTTCATTGATAGCTACTTACAACAAGTCACCTTCTGAATCATTGGTAATAGAAATGTTTCTTGTGAATTCATCTAAAAATATAAATAATCATATTAAATAATTAAATATTCAAATAATATTCGACTAAAAGTATGGACCATGAACATCATTGCAATAAAAAAAAAACAAGACCTTTGTTGAAATTAGAGTCCATTGTTTCGTCCAAATACAAATGTTTGTTATTTTCATCACAGATCTCAGTATAAAACTCATCTACCTCCAATGTACCTATATGGTTATTCATATTTTCATCATTTTGTAGCTAAAGAAAACAGAACAGTCTTTTATGTAATAGATATCTAATTTTTTTTTATTTTAATATCAAAACAAACCATTTTTTTATCCCTCTTCTTTTTCTTCTTCTTTTTTTTAAATCTACAATTCGCATAACAATAAAATACAATAGCAAGTATAAAATATATTATGTTCAATAAATAATAACATGATTGTATAAAGTAATTTAAACTTTTAATGATACTTACAAAGAGTCCCTTTCTGAAATTTTAGAAATATTAATATTTCTTGTGAATTCATCTAAAAATAGAAACCACCACTTTAAATAATAATAATAATGAAATAACATCATAGCAAAAAAAAACAAACCTTTGCTTAAATTAGAGTCCATTGTTTCGTCCAAATACAAATGTTTCTTATTTTCATCACAGGTCTCAGTATAAAACTCATCTACCTCCAATGTACCTATATAGTTATTCATATTTTCATCATTTTGTAGCTAAAGAAAACAGGACACTCTTTAATGTAATAGGTATCTAATTATTTTTTATTTTAATATCAAAACAAACCATTTTTTTATCTCTTTTCTTTTTCTTCTTCTTTTTTTGAAATCTACAATGCGCATAACAATAAAATACAATAGCAAGTATAAAAAATATGTTAGTATATTATGTACAATGTACAATAAATAATAACATGATTGTATAAAGTAATTTAAACTTTTAAAGATACTTACAAAGAGTCGCCTTCTGAAATTTTAGAAATATTAATATTTCTTGAAAATTCATCTAAAAATAGAAACCACCACTTTAAATAATAATAATAATGAAATAATGTCATAGCAAAAAAAACGGACCTTTGCTTAAATTAG